AACTCCCAGTGCCAGGCTGAAGATAGAGGCCTCGGGGTCAAAGTTTAACTCCCGGACAGTGGCCTGGATTTTGTTTGGTCGCACCTCTCCCACCGTGGGCTCACCATCTGTCAGGAACACGATGATGGGCTCTGGCTTGTCTTCAGTCGTTATGTTTTGCAAGCCCTCGTGTGCCACACGTATTGCTGTTTTCAGAGTGTCGTGGATGTTGGTGCCTGGTCGGAAAAGTTGGTCAGTTAAATACTTTTCACCCCGTCACTATTGACGTTTTTTCTTTGGAGATATAGGTACAGTGCTGACAACTAATCAACATTAAAGACCCTGCAGTGTCTCCGATCTGCATAGAACAGCCTGAACTACATGACCAATTTTCATCATCCTCAGTGTAGTGAATCTATAAGACTGCCACATTTTTAAAATACACTTAGTATATCTATTACAGGGCTTTTATATAGTAGTATTCCCACATTTATGTCCCGTGCCATAGCCGCGTGGTCTGAGGCATCATGCTTCGGACCGGCGATACGGAATGCGCGCTGGTTCGAGTCTCGGGGAAGAAGAAATTTTCTCATGAGCTTTCGACCAGTGTATGGGTCCGGTGCCAACCCAGCATCGTGAGGAAATTGGGGAGCTACGATAAGTAGCGTAATCCGGTCAGGAAAACTAGCAATGGCTGGGGGTTCGTCGTGCTGACCACACGTCACCCTGTATCTGGTTGGATGATCGTTCACCTCTGCTTAGGCATGTGAACGTGAGGCCAGCAGTCAAGCTAATCGACGTTGGCTCTCTGGAGCTGTTACGCCACGGATTTAATTTTTAATTCCCACATTTATAGAAGTTTTTGTGCTGGCATGAGGGTCTCAGTTTCATAATGGAAATAAAGCGTGGACCTAACAATTACTCACCTCCGCCTGCCCGCATTTTCTTGATGATGTCCTTGGCCTTGATCTTGTATTCGTCTGTGGCTGGGAAGGCTGGGATATCACCTGGGTGTGGGTTCGGACTGTCTCCATATGCGTTGAAGGGAGAGAACACGGCACTCTGGGATGTTGAGTCTAGGTTCCACACCTGCAAAACAATACCGGTAAGTCAGCAGCACAACTTTCAACATTGCTAACCTAACCTACCTACATCTTAGACCAAAGGTATGTGGGAACAATGGTGGCAAAGCCGCACACTTTCTGAGGCCTCAGGACAGATGTGGAGATATCATAGGGCCTCCCAATATTGTGGCATCCTCTGATATACTGAAAATGTATAATTTTAGGCTCATGCAGTGGACAGATCTGATTTAAATGTAAGTGAAACTGCTATAATACAAACTACAGATAAGCAAATTTGTGAAGCAGTCTTCTCATTTTACAAAATTTTCTAAAACTTTGTCATTATTTTCCCTTGCCTCAGATCACATTATTTGAAACCTCTCATTACCGTCACTGAATAGGAGAACTCGACGATGTTGAAGTAGTCACCATTGTTGAGGTCATCCAGAATCGCCATCATCGCCTCTTTGAGTTGCTCTATTTTCCTTCCATCCATAGAGCCACTCACATCCAACACAAAGACGACGTGCTTGTGAAGCGGCTTCAGGTCAGTCGGGGCAAAGAAGTGCACAAAGTAGCCGTCACTAACCTGGAATGCAAGGGGCATTTTTTATGTTTCAGTGTTAAAAGATATGACTGTCCTCTGAAACTGTAATAATTTTAAAGAGGGAAACAAATTCTACTTTTCATTTTATAATGTTTTATCTCATCTTCTTTCCAAATGTGTAGTTCTCCGTGTAAAGCGTTGATTATTGCTGTCAAACTTTAACAAAAACTGGGATGTGGAGAGAAATTTGTAGTAGAACTACCTTCCTTCATATTTCATTAACATCTATTCAGCAGTTCCTGAGCTGTTACAGACAGACTGATCCACCTACTAACTGCTCAAGAAGCAGCCTATGTCTGAAGTAAATAATTGATAGTTTGGTGGAAATATTTAGTCATAAGATCGCTGTATCACTCAAGACTCATAATATAATTTACATATAACAAATATAATTGAGTTCCCTTAACTTTTAGTGCTTGTCATTGCAATGTAACGCAGCTTGTAGTATGGTCTGTTACAATTAAACATGTGTTTTGTTGTAAGATTTGAGGTTTTTACAGCGGTGAGTATGAAGATTCCTGTCTTCTGGGTTGTTGCGCTGTGTAGTCTGGTCGATGTTAACCAACGTTTCAGAGGTCATACTGCCTCCGTCATCAGGGCGATGAGTATGAAGATTTCTGTCTTCTGGGTTGTTGCGCTTCTGGGTTGTTGCGCTGTGTAGTCTGGTCGATGTTAACCAACGTTTCAGAGGTCATACTGCCTCCGTCATCAGGGCGATATTCATCCACAGCGCAACAACCCAGAAGACAGGAATCTACATGTGTTTTGTTACGAAGGCAAATTTGCATCTCTTCAGGCCATTGTAAAGTCTATAGTCACTTGGTCATGGAACTCACCAAAACTTCACCTGCCTGAGGGTCTCTGTCCACATCGTACTGTACCACAAACTGTCCGCTGAGGCCCGCATCTTCCTTCTTGTTACCTAGCTTCTTGGCCAGCTCATGCTGCTCCTCCACTGTTGGCGAGAACTGCACATGTGCCTCTGTGGGACTTGGCCGCTCAATCCTGGCCAGTGAGTTGACTGCAGTTCATTGGGGGAAAAAAGGTATGTTTAACATAGCATTAAATATATTGCATTCATGTTTATTTATATAATTGCTACTTTTTATACTGTTTGATTTTATTTTCTTGGTTTATTTATTGTTTATCTGGGGTGACAGCAGGGAGACTCTTCCTACTGGTGTAAAGTAGATGGGGCATGAAGCTATCAGGCCACAGAGCGCTGTTCTCAAGAATGAGTGGACTTGTGCAGCCACTCCCCCCCATATACGTATCTTAATATGCACCAGGACAACTTTACCTAACTCTCTAAATACAAGTCATAATCTTTCCTTTAGAGCCAAGTGTCTTGACGCATTATTACAGGGATGACAATTCTACAGAACATTTATAGGCTTGCCTACCTCTGTCGTCCTGCTCAGGATCTATCTCGTTGCCAGAACGGAGTTCCGGGATGTGGAGCGCGGTGATGTTCCGGCTTTCGCTGATAAAGACGTCGATCTGAAGGTCTCGCACCTCTTGCCCAGGGTGCAGGTTCACCACGTGGCTGTACTCGCCCAGTCTCCGCATCAGCAACTCCTCATATGTCAAGTTGAACGTCGCTTTCTTCCGAGGCTCGACGTTCACCGACACCGTGAACCGGTTTGAGTCCCGGGCGCTGTAAGTTTTACAAGTGGTTGTATTGGTGTGTGAGTCGTAAATGATTAACTGATTGAACAGTTGTTACAGAAGTGACAGATTATTTGGGCCTCTCGTGCATCGCGTGATGAAGGTGACGCTGAGTTGTGCGGGTAATATTAGTTTGTCTGTCTTCAGGGAGTGAAATGCTCACCTGATAGCCACATGTGCTGCGGCCTGTCCGCCTGCCACAGCCTGTTCGTACTCCTGCTTCGCCTCCTCTTTCTCTCTCACGTATGCTTCATACACTTTCCCATCCACTTCCCTGCAACAAAGATAACCTCTTGTAATTTTGTTAGCGTGTCAAAGCGAGGAGGTGAGCCTCCCTTGGCACTACGAGGATGGGTGATCTTTTGGAATCGACCCTAGAAGAAGGTCCTGAAATTGCTGAAAAGAGTTTGGGTGTTCGTGGTGATCCACACTGTTAAGTCTAATGCCTTCGAGCAGTGGGAGGTGTTCTGTTGTTTCAGAAGAAGATACTGTCACCATCTTCAGGGCAGAATATGGAAGCAGGATGTTGCTCCAAAATGTCAAAAGCTTTGTACATCGTGACATCATGGAAGAAGCTTGTGAAACTGCCATCTTGACCAAGAGTATGTCAGATCGTTATTTGACACAGCGCAACTTAGTAATGCGGCCCATCTCGAGCACCGAACCGAAGAAGTCTGCAGCTCGGCAACACAGATACGCTAAGGAGGAATCAAATGGGACATGTTTCATCTGCCTTGGGAGAGATAACTGGTTGAAATTAATGTAAAATAAAAATGTAAATACGGTACAAGAAAATATTTTGTATTGGCTCTGTGTATTTATTTATTTATTTATTTCACTGTTTCTGTGAAGATATTGTATCAGCTTTTGAGATTGTGTGACTTTCGGGTGAGGATGACCGATTTAACCTACCCATGTAGAGACGGCTATGTCCGTCGCTCTATCAGATTTTTTTTGTACAACTTTTTAGAAAGGAAATGAACCCATCGCAGTAAGAGAGTTGCTGAAGATGACTTGTCTTCTGGGATGTTGCGCCATGTAGTCTGGTAGAAACAGACGAACATTTGAGAGGTATTTGCTACCTCCATCAACGTAAGTATCAACACACACTTTTGTATGTTTTTAAGATTTCGTCTTGAATTCAAACTGAAGTTACAGATATTCGTCGGCATTTTTGGCTGTTATTAGAATAAATACATTAAGGCATTAAAATTGTACTGATTTTTTTATAACTATTTGAACATTGGGCACTCCATTTTTAAAAGAAAGACACTGATATTTTTTTTTTTGTTTTCAGTGCCTAAAATGTCTGTCACAGGGTGAATGAAAAAGTGATGTAATAATGCATACACAGATTAGGAAGTGACTCACATGAGGAAACCGGAAATGAAAGCAGTCTCCGGTAGAACCACGCTGAAGAACACTTCCTGGGACTTATTGGCGGGGTTGGCAAGCCTGCTGCTGACCACTGTTGTGGCGTACCGGGACTTGATCCGAGACTCCACCCTCAGGCTGTACATTTCCGGTTTGGGCAGCTCTGGAGCAGCCTGAAGCAGAGAGACCAGAAGACCGGTTCACAGGGAAACCGCCTGACCGGCTTCCGAATAAGAAACAACTGACGGCCGTTCACACGATGTCAGTGCCTCGAAGTGCTATTGACCACCAGAACTTGCTTATGCTGGGTATTTCATAGGGTACGCTGTTTCTAAATCTGAATCTATAGTCAGCTGTCCGCCAGTTATTATTCAATCTACCTGCATACAGACAGACCCCGAAAAGTTCATAAGGAAAATGAGTATTAAAACCAGTTTCTCTTAAACACAGTCATGGAGGTAAGTCCTCTGTCTGAATACTATTGGAATGACTCTCCCTACTGGAGTTCGTACGTCAAGCCCAGACTCGGAGACTTTAACGCCAGAATAAGACACGACGTCTGGCTCTCAGTGACTAGCTGAGCGACTGTTAGCTTCTGAATAAGTACTCGGCATCGTGGACCCAAGACGTAGGTACGCGGTAGATCAGGAAATGTACGCGAAGGCAATTAGGACTTGCTGTTCTGGTAGTGACGTCACGGAGAGACGAGCGAGTTGTGGCAGAGTCGTGCGCTACGTGATGTCAGGTAGCAGGGTCGTGGAAGAGGTCGCGCCGTGGGAACAGTCACGCAGTTCCCAGCAACAACAGCACAAGACACGTTTGTGTTTTTGTCTCAGTGGTATTTTAACTACGATTTCTTTTTCTGGTTCATCAGATTTGTGTCGTGTCTTCTGCTCCGTTCTTAACTTCATTCTTTCTGCGTGTTCATTGCTTTATTTTAAAACCCAGACAGCTCACTTAACATAGCAATTTGCTACAGGAGTGCTGTTCTCGGAAGGAGGCGTTCATCTTCGCCACTGATGTGCTCACACCCCCAAAGATTCCCGTCTTCTCCTACCGGGCTCACCTCCATCTAATAGGTGAAGAATGTATGGAGCTTTTCTCGTCCATTTCGAAACTTTAAATTTATTCGGTCATTTTGCACACTTCGTCTCCTTCCGATCCAAGAGATTCGTATCTCGAAACGCGTGACCAGCCATCCAGATCTCCGTACCACACACGCACGTCAGAATGGCGACCACTTCCTCCCTGCTTCCATATTATTCGGAATTCACGTTTATCGGAAATCAGAAAATGCACGAAATCTGTACCGAGGACTTCCGAAATTTTCCCCAGCTCGCGTTGGTCCGTACGACAATGGCTTTGGAAGGATTGTTGCCTTTCGGCGAAGAGTACACGTCGATGTTGGTCTCTTCGGTTAAAACGAAATTTGACCTTGCAGGTACACAGACGTTTCAGAGGGACATAGTACCTCCATCATCCGGGCTTACGTTAGCTGAAAAAACATTTAAGCTACGTCCCATTCATTTGTCACGGTTGACTGTTTAAAAATGTAATTGGCTTCAAAGAAACGAATAAGAATAAGGCGCCAGTTACCTTAATGTCAAACACGTTTGAGGCAGGACGCTGTTCGTTTCCCGGTAGGTGCAAGGATTTTTCTCGTCACCACGACGTTCTAATCTCTGTACGGCCGAGGTTAAGAATGCGTGGAGCTAGACCTCCATTCCCAGCACGTCTTCGTTACGCGTGCATGTTTTATCAGGGTAGAATATTAAGTAAGCATTTAGAATGCAAACTAAGGGCGTCTTACCTCTGCGGCCCGGGCGACGTCGTGGTACTCAGACTGGGTGGCCAGGTTCAGGGGGAGCGGGGTGGACGTGACCATGGCCTGTGGCAGCCCCTTGACGGTCCTCACTTCGAACCAGAGCAGAAACAGTAGCAGTTGTGGTAGCATTGTGAAGGATGAGCGCACTGTGATAGGTTTGTCTTCCCCTCTAGAGGGCTCTCCGCATCTTCAGAATGGAGTTCTCTGCAAATAAACAATCCGACTGCCATTTATCTCGGAGAGCATTGTCTATTTGTTGACGAAGGTAGATAATATGCATTCACCCTGTAAATCAGAATTTCGTATGATTATCTCTGTAAACAGCGATTATTTCCTTAAACAGCGTTAACCACTTCATCTCTCTAATGGTGAAGTGTTGTGTTTTCTTTGCGGTACGTACCTAATTCTTAAATGTAATTTAGACGAGCGTAGGTTTTAAATGATTAAGTAGGCACGTGACAAGAACACTTTCAATTAAATAAGGAGTTGCCATGAACTGAGCTGTTAACACGTCTCGGCAATCATTTTCATGACAGGAAACTCTCACTGCAGTTCCAGTTGTCTCGTCACGTTCTGTTCAGACCTCGTATGTCTAGTTAAAATATGTAAATAAATACGCGTGCATGTTGGCAAGGAGAGGTCATGTAACTGTAAATATTTTTCGGGTGCCCTGAAGCTGTCTGGGGCAGGGCTGACAGTCAGTCATTGACAGTTAACGTGTGGCTCACATATACGTAACGAAATAAGTAACACATTTAAGCGAAAACTTTGTTTGTCGAGGAACAAAGGCCCTCGCGTTATTCGGTTTTGGCTCATAAAGTTTGTAGTCGCACTTTCCGCAATGATCCTCTGTTCTAAATTCTATAAATCAGGAATTTTGCGGGCTAGACGACCTTTAGGAATTTTGAAAATTTTTCGCATTTAACAAATAAGGTGCCATTTCTGACTCATTTCTTTCATGATGTGTAACCCTTAACCTTTAAAGCATGGTAGTAAGTATATATATACCACCCGTAGTAACAATTAATAGCCCTTATTTTATCCACACAGTGCATTTATGTATTAGTATGATTCTCAAAATGAGCATCGATTATTTATATTAATGTTATCTCAAACTACTTAGCCAACATATATAGCTGACAATGATTTTAAGCTATTAAACTTCAAGACCATAACTTGCAATCGTTAATTTGTAATTAACACCAGCCGGTTGATCGGTGCCACGGAGACGTGTTGTGTTTTCTTTGCGGTAGGGACCAAAATTTTATATGTTATTCAGATGAGCTTCGCGTCAAATTACGGTGATTTCTTTTCGAAGACGTGACGTCTTAATTAGTTGAAATAGCAGTTTGTTTCCGTGGAGCGTCTTCTGCGTCGAACTTGGTAATTGCAGGCGTTTAAAATGAAAGTGTTGGCTCACCGCCTTCCGAGAACGGAGGGCTTCGTGTTCCCACGGTTGTAGAAAAGTGCAAGGTGGGCAGACCTCGGTTGCCGCGGGCGCCTGCTTCAACCTTTCCTCCTTGTCCGCGTTGTTTACCTGCGCATCGCTGATGATGTCACTGGCAGTCTGTATTTCCCGAAAACACGCAGTGGGCCAGCTTTGCCGTCATTTTCACTTTTACAAAAAAGAAGCTGATGTTAAGAAGACCGGAAATCTGCTTCACCTCGGGAGCACTCACAGTTTCGGAAATTCCTCTTTGCTGCTCTAAGTGGAATTCTGTGGCCTTCATTTGTGGCGGGTGCAAATGCGTTGGTTTCGACGAAGTGATAAGCATAAGAAGAACAAAGACACGTTTTGCCAAGGCTGCACTGCGCTCTGACTGGGCAGAGTTATCAGGGATATTTTTGGAGGTGACGCTCAGGTTCTGAGAAGAAATCGCAGGACAATAAACAGCTGTTAACTGCGAACGTGAGATGAATTATGTCACTGCTGTGAGTAACTGAGAAGGAATTGCAAAGCAGGAAACAGGACGTCACAACATGCAGAATTATGACTTCAAAACGGAATCATCTGGCAGAAGACAAGATGAATACAGCTTCTCAAAGTGGATCAAACTTACAACAACGTTGTGAATTTTGGAACTGACTTCGAGGCGTTTGAACAGAACGAAAAACACCATCAGTTGTCACAATTGTCCCATGAAGCAGAATTCTTGTTCAGACGCCAAGAAACTTATCGATGTTTACAGAACCCCGATCGTTCACTATTCTGAGCCTAGTGAGTTCAATTCAGTCCGCATTTTCCCACCTTGGCCGATGCCAAGGGACTCGATGATTTCCGTTTTTAGAACCAAGAATCCTGTACGCACTTCTGATATCTCCTATTCATGCTGACCATCTCATCGCCCTAGTAATATTTCGTGAAGATACGGATTAAAATGTTCCTCATTATGCAGCGAGTACGCCTGGTCCCCGCGGCCAAACATGCGCGCCATCGCGAAAAGAGAAATTACTGCTACCGTCGGGAATCGAGCCCCGGCCATGTCCCGTGGTGACTGACCCAAACCGACTCACATAATTTTTTATAAATCTTGTTTCTTACGTTCATGTCAGAATAGGGAAATTCCGTTCCAGAGATGTTTAGTCGGCGTCTTCACACTCAAAGCGAAGTGGCTTACCTGTAGGCGTGATGTTTGCTACCCGCACCACACTCTAACTCACACGCTGGGGGCCGAGTGATGGCAGTGGGGCAGTGGACACGGCTCTTATACGCGGCACCCCCCTCCACAAGCCTCTACGCGGTCTGCCGGCGTTGATTATTTGGAACACGTGCTTCACAGCACAGTGGTAACTCTTCTTACCACATACTTCGAGGTTCACGAAGTTTACGCGATTCGAAGCAAAATCGGTCATAAGTCGCATTTTCAAAAACTCGTGTATCAGCGTATAAAATTTTCGTAATCCATCCCCAAAAGATTTTGGTTCATGTTCATAATTTCTCTATAGATTTAGAACGCTCAGGCGTTGCGCAGTGACATCTTGTTGGACAGTTTTGAAATTATTAGATTTTGACAGGTAATTATGCCACAAGGATTAGTGTCTATTTAGAAGGCTGTGCAGGGCTACTTCCGCCATCTTGATATCTCGAGTTTCCTGTTTGCAGAGTCTGTCATTGAAAAGTGCCTCAAAAAGTTTGTTCTGAAGTGTTAGTGTTGTTTAGAAGGTGAAAATTTGTGTTCTGTGATTTAGATACACAGAGATCAAATTGGTGAGTCTTATAAATAGCAGAAAATACGTCATTTTAGACTAGAAGTTTAGCCTGGATCTTCTAACCTATCAACTAGAGAGTTGAACAAACGTACACGAATTTACTCAGAAAATTAAACAGACTATGGACTTGCCTTTTTATCTGAGAAATGTGAGAAAAAGAATTCTGAATTATGCGTAGTAGATGCCAGTGGTCGTATGCGCATTACACATTATGACAGCCATGGTTTTATCGACGATAAGATTCCGGGCGTAGGAGGACAATATGACAGTGGCTTAAGTCATGAGAGATGTTTAAGTATGGGGCAGTGTGGTTCAGGCTCCAGTGATGGACTTGCCGCCTCCACATTCAGTGGGTTGTGACAACTTTCAATTCGGTGTTAAATTTCCTTTGCTATTCGTAGCTCTCTGTTTTTATTTTAAGAACGTAGTCTTTCTCAACTTTTCCATTTGCATCAGTTGATGGATGGTGGACAAATAGAAAGTTGAGACCGGAGGAACAACGCTTCTTTGACTGGGGTAAGGATTCGTCTGTAGCCTTGAAAGATCGATAGATTTCTCGTGTGAATATTTGGACGAAAGACGAATGAAATGAGAGGGGACTGAACAAAATCATGCAAGCAGGAGAGAGAGAGGGAATTAATAATATACCGGAGCCAACGAAGGCATATTTTGGTTGAAATACGAAATCTGGATTGAAGTGGCTCACGACGCGGTCCAGTGACGATAATTCGGGAGCCGAGCAAATCTTCAGACTGTGCCACATATGCCGTTGTTGCGCTCTGCACTTGGAATTTCTCTCTCTCCTCGGCTCAGAGTTCCCACGCCCTTGAACACTGACGTCATCAGTAGCTTACCTGTTGCAAGGGTCACGCCGATAACAAACATTCTACATTTCTTTCTCGCCGCGTCGGCAAGATGGGATGCTGCACGTACCTGTCAGTCTGAAAGTGGGGCTCTGCCCCACCCATCAATCAGTCATGTGTTTTCCAAGGTGGACGGTTGAACACTGGTGTTTGTCAAATTGTGGTTCGCGAATTGCACATGTAGCAACATTTTTGTCATCACCAGGGAAGGAAATGACAGTTATACGATGATAATATTAAAACGGATCTCAGTTAAATAGGTTGTGGGAGGGGGTGTTCGAGTTTCTAGGTTTAACTGTCTCAGTAGAGTTAAAAAGCGAACTTTTGCGATGAAATATGGATGCTCTTTTTGGTGGTCATTTATAAACATGTTTAAAGTTCCGTGTAAAAAAAAAAAGTTGTGGCCTTCTTTCACGTGTTCCATACAGTGCAGATTATGAATTATGTAAAACAGAACGTTCTTAAGCTCGTCGAGTTTTCTATACGTCGGCAACTTTCAGTTCGAGTTTCATACGATATGTGTAACGCAGTATTGTATCGATATTGATGAAATTTGACATCTCGACTGAACTTTCTTGGGCGAATTTAATTTTTGTCCGTGTTTTTCGTGACATGGGCCTTGCCTCAGCGTCCGCGTTCATAAATTCATTCTCTGACTGTCGTTTGTGACAGTTTTGTGAGGCAGGTCCTGGGGGGGGGGGGGGGGGGGGGGGGGGAGATGAACGTCACGGACGGCCTTGAAGGTGCAGGACATTGAATATCAAACAGAGGCAAACCCCACAAAGGGGCCTCCCGTTCCGGATACATTTAAATGAGATTGTATGCGAGATGAAACACAAGATCGTCAGATGTGTCCGTCACGAAGACGAGGGAATGGAGGAATACTGATAGAAAGACATCAAACCGATGAACAGTGATCATGATGGCATGAGATAAGCAAATGCGGAACGAATGCTGGAGGAACAAAATTATATATCTTTCGATCTGTCGAGGAAGCATGTTTTAAAATGGTAAGGAAGAATAGGGAAATTATTATTTTTATTTTCATTATCATCACGGTGATAGGGAACTTGCTTTGACAAAAGTTCCTTCCAGTCCCGGAATTGTCAACTTTGTAAATCGGCCATTTCTAGAAGATGGCGTAGGCCAGGGAATAACCTAACCATCGATCACTTCTTCATGGATGAGACAGAAATATCTTGGAATCAAATAACGAAAAGCCATTTGCTTCGGCGGACGCTTTCCTCGAGAGAAAGTTTCAATAGCATCTTCAGTCTGTCACGTTTTTCTCTGTAACCAAGGGTGGACAACCTTTCAGGAACGAGTTTCTCACGCTCTGTTACCAACTCTCCCAGAGTACTAACCCCCCCCCTCCCCCGCCATACTCCAGCGCTCGGGTGGTAGCAACTGCTGTCTTCATCATCCGCAGAGTCGCGCTTCGACGAACAATATGGCGGGGTGCGTGGCGAATCAATTAGAAATTGAGACACTCGCCGTGTAGTCTGATGATGGAGGCAGCTACGACCTCTGAAGCCTTGGTAAACTTCCACCAGAGAGGACAGCCGTGGGCAACGTCAAATCCTACTTAGTTTTTTTCCTCTCTGTCTGTTGAAAATGTGTCCTCCGTCGTAGCCGTGGGAAACGCCTTGATGCAGTGGTTTCATTTGTCTTTTTTAGGAATCCCACGGGGCACGTGTGCAGACAGCGCAATGAGTCCGCGGTTGATTGATTTGCTCTGCCCCCCTGGTCTTGGCACCGCAGCCAAAATTCTGTGTTCCCAGTCCGGCCGTTCTGAAGCAACTGTAAACATTATTTAATCACGTGTCCGGGAACTTTCTTTAATTAATCTTAATCAATTTACATGCGTTTGTGTAATCCGCGTAGACGTTATAGAAAAATGTGATTCCAAGTGTGTTGGTAGCTTTCAGTGCCAACACAAGTCCGTAATTAATCAAAATATTGTACCAAGTCACTTATACTTGAATGCTGTTCTTTATCTCCTAACTCAGTGGTATTCAAACTTTTTTGTTCGCGTACCCCCAGACATAATTTCTCTTAAATTTTGTACCCCCAAAAGTTGTTGGTGTATAATTCAAGTTATACGTAGTATATAATCTACATCTAAAATAAATTAAATAAATTACATTACTGATTATTCAGTGTTTATCGTAAAATAATATATTTTTTTAAAAAATTTCACGTACCCCGTAAGATGTTTTCGCGTACCCCCGGGGGTACGCGTACCCCAGGTTGAATACCACTGTCCTAACTCATGAAATTAACATTCAGCATTTTGTCCACAGGATTTAGTGTTCTCTAACAGCGATTATTTCCTTGAACAGCATTAAGTATTTAATCGTTGTAGTGGTGACGGACTGAATCTTTAAAAAGACTTCGGACCAGCTTCGACCTTATTTAAGACTTTACACGGCGCCACAAATAAAGTCATTTTCTGTCTCCGGCAACAAAAGTATTTGTTTGTAGTTTGTATAGACTGGAATAATAAATACATAAAAAGTATTTGTGTTAGTGAGCCTGTGTTTGTTTCTGTCAGATATTTTGTCCTTATCGACTCTTCACCGAGATAAGACAAAAAACACGTTGATACGCTCCGTTGTAACCACTGACAAACAACTTACTTCTCGAAACCCCCCCATCCCCCTTGCGATGCGTCACTTGTATGAAAATGTCGGCGCTTCGTAAACGGAACAGAGACATTTGGTTGCCTGCAATTTCGCGCGCCCTCAGTGAGCCCGCTCTGCGCCTGCGCAAGCGATGCGCAGTCGCTTTCATGTGCCGCGAACAAACGACAATCATTTCGTCGCTGTGAGCTGACGAAACAAATACGAGGCGGATTTCCGTTTGTTGCCATGACAACCGCGATGTTTTTAACCTGTGTGCAAATTGAAGACGTCGGTGGCTTCCGCATCAACAAATCCACATTTGGTGGCTCAAACCAAAACCAGATCTTTACCTCGCAGGGCCGAGGATGAAACTACATTATTCAGTCGGTAACGAATTAACTGGTATGAATTACACAGATACGGCACTGGAACTTCGGTTCAAATACTCATAAATACGTAACATCCGTTTTAATAATATCCTGTCCGTGTGGCCGTCAGCGTCGTAAAGTGTTCACAGCACGATACTTACCAACCAGAATATAACTTTTGTAAGGAAACAAAGAAATACATGAATAAATGCGTATCGCCAGTGATGCCAACCTTTATTTCCAAACACAGGAAATCGTACATCCTTTAGCTCACTGTTCCACAGTGGTTCATTTTCATAAATAAAGAATTACCGCCTTCTCTATTCTGGTTCTCTTCAGTTCAATTTACTACGAACTTAACTAAATTTCTTTCCATTGGGTTTTATGTCTTGTGTTCAGGCCCGTCCTGGAAGAACGTAATTGGTCTTATATATCGGACGTTTCGGTTCACTTGAAGTGAATTCTTAATCGTCGGTTTGTCAGCAAGAACCGAAAATGTTTTCCGCTGTTAAAATGTTAACAGCGGAACATTAAGAGTTGTCACGCAGTTTTTCGACAATGAGAACCCGAGATTTCTTTCGAACCCGCGCCTTTTTAATTCTAAGAAAGAGTTTCATTTTATTAATTAAGCAGCCGTTGATAACGCAAAAGATGGTTCGTATGCACGTGATCCGCGATGTGACAGCCGTAGATAACGCAAAAGACGGTTCGTATGCACGTGATCCGCGATGTGGCTTCAAACCCCTTCACTAAACATTGTTTAACTAATCTGTGTCCATACGTTTATGACCCCCAATGGAAGAAATGGATTTTAAAATCCAAATATGAGTCAAGTTTGTCATAGAAACTGCCTTTAAATATTTTTACCTTAGACTACGCCTACCTTCAAGACAACTACGGATATTATGAACATAATAAGTAATTAATATAAGAACTAGCAGTCACTTCAGTTGTAACTAACAACTTGTCTTCTGAATTCTCTGTCTGTCTGTCTGTTTGTTTGTTTGTTTCATCGCACAAAAGACTTTAATGCCATTCAGTGGCGTCACTATATAATACAAGGAACGATGGTCCAGAACTGCAGTCTCCGTTTCTAATCAAGAACTGGGCAAATGGTGGACTTTGAAGACCCAAAACGAACGAAGTCAAAGTAGAATTCTCAAGACAGACGCATTGAGCCTAAACATGGCGCCTGCATGTCACTTTTGTTTTGAAATTACAGGGGGAGACGAGATAAACTGTTCATCACCACCTTCCATTTGGAATTCATTCGATCAAGAGTGTAATTCTGACAAATTGCAGTGACTTTGGTGGCTTCACTAACAATGAAATATGCATTCCGCCTACTGAGGCATCTCGTTAAAATTATTTATATTTCATTATACGTACAGTTTTAGTTAAATTAATAATTCTACCTGTAATTATTTCTTAATAGCCGTCCGCCTACTGAGGCATCTTGTTAAAATTATTTATATTTTATTAAACGTACAGTTTTAGTTAAATTAATAGTTCTACCTGTAATTATTTCTTAATAGCCAAGGACAACTTTACGTAATGACATGACTAATCGGAGATCTGCAACGAAGCTCGAGGCCTGTGTTCTTGTCCGAATAGGAAATGTTTTCGACTCAGACAAGCGGCCGTCAATCGTGGATGCTGTGTTGTATGGGACTTACGAACGAATTAAGACAAAACACGACTTCCCAGCGCATCTGCCAGACCTATCAAAGTGCAAAGCGATAGACCGAGGATTGTTACAGACCAGCGTCTAAAGAATCTGTAATTTACAGTTCATTTCACGACTCGAACCAAATGCACGGATTTGAAACGAATTCGTTGCAGACAAGTCGAGACGTTAGTGTGTTGTGGGTTGCGTGGTCTTCAGGAGTTACTGTGCGATGCTACCATCAGCTTCATATTTTGTACGTCTTTCACACACAAAACAGCTGAATTTAGGTACCATTCACACTTAAATAAAATTAAAATCCTCCTTTGGTTTAAGCCAGCAATAGGCCCTGCGTTTTTTAAATTAATTTAACCGGGACAATTTGCACAAGACTTGAAACTGAAAAATTTGATATTCTTCGTCAATTGAGTGTGCGAATTCTTTGTTTTGTTAGCTCATTTACGCTTGAGGACGATAACGTCATTCGTCTATTTTAACTTAATTCGTTCTCAGCAAAAAGTCCTCTTACGACGTTGTCCTTAAAGACATTATCTCCGCTCGCTGCAGTTTTTCAAGTGTTGTATCTCTTCTTTCCGAGCTCATGGCGTTTTAAATGGCGTAAAGACGACACAGGGCAACGCGTTTTAAATTAATTTTGCCTAGTATTTTAATTCTCTTGGAGAATGGTTTTTGTTTCCCGGAATACGCGAGATACAGCACCAACTCATTCTAATCTGAAGTCCCTCCACCTTAAATTATTGGAAACTGCAGACCACTCTGGGCCATTGTTCCTTTTCACGAGTTTCACAGATCGACGTTGTTAACAAGCTGGCCGTCACAACTCAAATTAAACAAATTTGTGCAGACTTCGCTTAAGCTGCAGTCATTTGCTAATGTTGTTATTATAGTTCAGTCCTCTGCCGCTGAATGTGCTACAGGACAGCTTCATTGCTGCCACCTTGTGGATAACTGCCGGATTAAATTTGTACACCAGTTTGCGCGGCAAGTTCCGGAGTCGTGGGACAGGTTGCAGCACTTTTGACCTGTAGTACGTCCTGTCAGAGAGAGAAAACATAATTTAAACTAACTGTGTCGTTATTAATCTGGGATTGAACTGGGAAACTAACAAGTTAACATTCATGATTGATTTAACATCAAAATCGGGGAATTTCTAACCGATAACTTACCTGTAATTTTATCATTTGTTTTGTACTTTTTTCAAAAAATTGCAGTTTTTTTTTTTGGTTCCAAGCTACAAAATTTCGCAGAAAAGTTACAGCGATCAAATCGAGAACGTTGCGATTGGTAGGACCTGTAGCACTCGTTCGCGCCTAACGAATTGCGTAGAAAATGTGCCAACGCGCATCGTCGAGAGCGAATCGGACGCTGCTGAGCGGAGCCAAGTCTGTTTGCTCTGAGCAAAGAAGAGATGAAGTCTTTCAGATGTGACATGTTGCTTGCCATAGCAGCGACCTCTCGTAGAGGCGTGATAAGATAAGCCAAGTGGCGAGAGATAAATTCTTTCGTGAAAACGAGAAATATTTCTTAGAAATGTGCACAGTAAATCTAAGAATTTTTCCAAACACGTAATTCCTCATCTATGGGAGTCACTGTTATTCTCTGCAAGCGTCAACTCGCGTTTGCGCGTCGCCGATAAACATCTGCAACGCGGTGGCCGGCAGTCGAAATACTTTTCAGGGTTTCTCTGCTACGAGTCCTTGGTTCTGACCCTAGCGACGACTACGCCCGGAAGGACGCGACATGAAGGAAAACCAACAGACCCTGTCCTGAGCCAGATGAATCCAATCCATTTCCGAAAAGTACAGTTTTATGTCGCGAGGCGTAACGTGTGAATAATTAGGACACGCGTGGACCGAATCTGACTAACACAGTCTCACGCGAAGAAATAGTTATGTCCTCTGTTTCGTTAGCTTGCATTCTATTCGTGTGGAATGTTTTAGTGTCAGTGACGAGTGGAAAATATCTCCTAAATGTTGTCTCTTGCGCGTGAACTGCGTCTGTATCGCCACTTTACGGACCACCAAACATTTGTGATCAAATTCCACCCGCAGCGACACGTCCGGTTCTTTTTGCGGGGTAGACGAGTCCCTTTTTCGAGGATTCCGATTCCAGTTAGGCAGATAACGCGCGAAGAAGGAGTCGTGCTTCTGCGATAAGGAAGCCCATCTGCGAACTGCGGACGCCCTCGTTTCGAAAGGCGACGGGGTGAGTCCTTCTGCGCTTAGGAGACCGTGTCTGTGAGCGAGTGGCGTCGTAACAGTTCCCTGAAGTTCCCCCTCAAAGGGCGTTGGCGGCCTCCAGGAACAGAAATGCGA